TCTACTTTTAAGTAGCCAGTGTTCGAACTCTTTGGTTACCAGTCTAAAAGTACTTGGTAGTCCTTATATCTCGAGAAGTTCTACTTTTAAGTAGCCAGTGTTCGGACTCTTTGGTTACCAGTCTTAAAGTACTTGGAAGTAATTATATCTTGAGAAGTTCTGTTTATAAGTTACCATTGTTTGAATTCAAATAATTAAATTTAATTGTTTATTTATTCACTGGATCATTATCGTGGCACACGGGTGTAACCCATAAGTACTCCGTTTTGCTTCTTACTCAAATCTGAGTCTGAATCCTCTCAATACAGTGCACGAATTCCGTTGCACTGGCGATGATTCTGAAAAACTTTAGGTCGATTTTGAACCCTAACAGCACCGTTAAGCTATTCTTTTCCGATTTCCAACTGCCAAGGTATTTTGTTTTTACGTGCGGAACAATACAGACGGGCGTCCAGGCCTACTACCTAGAGACTTGGGGAAATTACTAGAAGTCCGTCTGGGGTTTGAACGTGGGACCTCTAGCACTCCAGGTAAATGCCATACATCGAGACCACTCAACCCCCAAATAATCTAATAGCAACACTAGGGGTGTCAGAAGGAGTATAAAACCAACAATTCAGTTAATGGAACAATTGTCTGCGAAAGCAGAAGAGTAAGAAATGCGTACTACTTCTGCGTTCAACCGAAGATGTAATTGAGTTGTGCCAGTTTACAGCATAACTGCGATATTTGCGCCTTTCAGCCGACACATAAGACTTCTGCTGGCATTTGTTGACCGGGTTAGGTTGGCTTTTCCGGTAGAAATGTGTACTATTGACTTTAAAAAAAAACTTGCCAACTTCTGCCTTTATTATACCATTTTTGCGGTGTAGGCAGGGTGATTTACGGCCGCATAGCTAGTGCTGTCGTCACGGACTGTGCACTATTGACTAACCAATAAATATATGCTGCCTAGTAAAAAGTAAAGTAAAGGACCCTTTTCCACGCCTTTAGGGGTATAGGGCATGTAGGGCTAGACCTATATTTTAAAAGACCGATCGGCACAAGATGGTTGATGTGGTCAACATCACGCGGGCCGCCTTTACGTTCCGGGACGGCACCCGGTACCAACTCAAGGCTGGGTCTACTTGGGAGCCAAGGTCATTTTTTTAAAAAAAAAGCCCGGCTTCGCCATGGAGCGAACCCACTACCTTTAGATCCGCGTCAAGCGTCTAGCCACTCCGCCACGGCGACTCCTATGTTGCCTAGTGGCTAAAGGAGTTCAATTCTCAAGCCCCTACCCCCACCACCTCATCTCCGCCGTGTCCTAAACCACACTAAATATGGTATACACAGGTAGACAAGAAGCTTACAGCGGGACACAAAATAAACAATGTTCATAATGACACGCACTGACAATTCTTCCCTTTGAAAGAAAATGACAAAAAGGCAATTTATTTGAAACATCCGATGTTGGGTCATCTTAAAGAAACTCAAAGAAATTGGCTGTTTTCATCGTCGAGATTCACACAGAAACCATCGTCTGGTGCAATGGTTCTCAACCTTTCTAATGCGGCGACCCTTTAATACAGTTTCTCAAGTTGTGATGACCCCCCAACCATACAATTATTTTTGTTGCTAGTTCATAACTTCAGTATGTGTTTTCTGATGGTCTTTGGCGACTCCTTCCAAAGGATTGTTCGACCCACAAAAGGGTCGCGACCCACAGGTTGAGAACTCCTGGTCTAGTGGATTTCCTTTTAAGAAACGTGCACTAATTTATTAAAGAGCTTTAATGCTAGAGTTCGTAGCATCTGTCATGCGCTGGCCACAACAAGTCTAAGCTTTTATAATTTACTGTATATTTTTATCAGTGTGTGCGTATTATTCGGTCCCCTGTTACAATTTTTGCTTTTGCACTTATTTGCATTCTTCCTTTCTGCAACGTCAGGCATTTAAGATTATTCTTTCCTATTCTAACGTGGCTCTTGTAAATTATTATAATTTTAACGTCAGCTATTTTTAGATGATTATTTCATGTAGAAAAAATGAGAGCTGGCAGAGAGGGAAAAGTTGACTCTGAGTAAATTCGAGATAATAGGACGTGTAGTCGACCAAGCAGAAGATGAATAAAAAATACAGAGCTAGGCCTGAATGAACCGGATATTAAAATCTAGAGAGAAACGATTCACACACACACAAAATAATAGTGTGCCGTAAATTGCGCCTTTGTCGGAAAAGCTAGCCAGGCTGAAAATTCAAGGGAAATAGTAGTACTATCTTTATCTTTTCATTTGCCGGAAGCTACTCATACTCAAGGTATTGCTACGACTATCCCCCTTTTAATAATTTAATTGTCTTGAGAGTTAGGGCTTCAAATGTTGAAAATCTCCAGCTTTAGGCCGAATAATACGCACAAAGTGATAAAAAATATACAGTACATTATAAAAGCTTGGATTTGTGGCCAGCGGGTGACAGATGCTACGAATTCTAGCCTTAAAGCTCTTGAATAAATTAATTCTTCTTCTTCTGCGTTCATCCGAAAATGTAATTGCGTTGTGTCCGTTTACAGCATGGCTGCGATATTTGCACCTTTGGGCCAACACATCCGACTTCTGCGGGCATTTGTTGACCAAATAGGGAATCTGCAAAACGATGGAATCTAAAGGAGACAATTAAAATAGGGAATTCTTCTAGATAAATATTGCATAACATATGCAATTTCTCTAGATAAGGGAGGTAAATTGTACCCCTTCAGGACATCCACCAAGCGATAAATATCCGGTGACACAAAGTGCCACCATGTGGATGAGGAGCACCCATGGAGAGGTGCCCGGAAACCCCTTTCAGCCGTTAGGCCACATTTATGACGCGGCTATGTTTAGCCCCCCCCCCCCGCCCCCCCGCCCCCCCCCCCCCCCCCGGCACAAGCCGAGGTGGTGGCTTCAAAAATAACAAAAAATTGCATTCCACAGGGGGACGACTTGTAGCTAGTGAATAATTCTCTAAATAAATTCAAATGAAATATTTACTGTTTGAATTTTCCCCCAAATCCTTTGTATTCACAATAGTAAATTGAATTATGTACTTTCGTTGTAATTTAAAATCAACAGGGAACCTGTGTACTGCACTAATGAACGACAGTTTTCGCGTTTACAAACGATTGGTTTTCTTTCGGCCATTGTAGCAACTTCTGTTTATAATGAAGTATTTAAGTAAACTCTTTACAGTTAGGAGGATATTACCAATCTAGGGTGCAATCTCAATCATTCTATATGTGTTGTGCTGAATCATGTACAACTTACAAGTACACAAACATGGTCCGTTGAATGATTTGCAATGACACGCTTTAAACATGGCGTGAACTTATTTTAAAGTCAGCGCAGTGCATTAACTCTGTAGCACCGGCGAGGATCCTGAAATATGTCTGGCTAGATTTTTAACTCTAAATTTTGCCTGGGCAACGCCGTTAGGCGACTCTTTTTAAATTTCCAACTGCCAAGGGATTTTGTTACGTGCGCAGAAATACACACAGGCGTCCGATCTTACTACCCAGAGACCATAGAGAAATTACTAGAAGTCCACGTTAAAAAATCTCAGGACCTCTAGCACTTGAAGTGGACGCCATGCCTCGAGACCACACAGCCCCCTTATGATTACATGAATGAGAACACCATGGACAAATGAAAAGTGTAATAGGGATGTCTTGATATACATAACTCACCAGAAGGAGCCAATATACATGGTTGGGTCAAGTAGGGAAAACTGGAGTATATCATCACGGCGGTTCGCCTGTGGACTACAATAGGATGGATAGACAAGGGAAAAAACAAACAGTAGACAACAAAGGGTAAGGGGACCTTCCATGCCATGATGTAAACTGTCCCGCATCTCCTCTCTCGGTGTCTCTCTTCCTCTTGTACCCTCTAACTTTCCTACCCCTATGATGTACCCCAGTTTTTCCCTTTTCATGACAGGACCTTACGGTATATATTGTCCCCCTCTGGTGAGTTATCTATATCAAGACGTCCCCTCTGTTATCTATATCAAGACGTCCCCTCTGGTGAGTTATCTATATCAAGACGTTCCCTGTGGTGAGTTATCTATATCAAGATGTCCCCTCTGGTGAGTTATCTATATCGAGACGTCCCCTCTGGTGAGTTATCTATATCAAGACGTCCCCTGTGGTGAGTTATCTATATCAAGACGTCCCCTATGTTGAGTTATCTATATTAAGACGTCCCCTCTGGTGAGTTATCTATATCGAGCTGTCCCCTCTGGTTAGTTATCTATATCGAGACGTCCCCTCTGTTGAGTTATCTATATCAAGACGTCCCCTCTGGTGAGTTATCTATATCGAGACGTCCCCTCTGTTTTTTCTAGATGTTTTTTATCGTCTGGTGAGTTATCTATATCGAGACGTCCCCTCTGTTTTTTCTAGATGTTTTTCATCGTCTGGTGAGTTATCTATATCGAGACGTCCCCTCTGATTTTTCTAGATGTTTTTCATCGTCTGGTGAGTTATCTATATCAAGACAATTATAATCTTTTATTTGTCCATGGTGTTCTCCACATTCTTCTATGAAATCATATCTCTCCAGCTTCACAGCTTCTCACTAATCAGTTGACTGTATATCGGTAGGGTCTTTGCTGAAGAAAAAAAATCGCCACCCACAACGAGCATTCCCCAAGGGAGAACTTTAGGTTATAATTGTGACTAGGTTATGCGTGTCACATAAAATGGCTCAACACTGCACGCCACTATGAGCCCTAAAAAGACCACCTACAATGTTGATGTGGTCAAAGGATACAGAACCAAATACTGTCGTCTACCGGCGAGCCAGTTTGCAAACCGGTCGCTGATGTGTGAGTTGACTGTATATGATTCATTTACGTATTTCATGACTGACATTGTGTAGCTGTTATGAGCCTTTCCCCTCACCTCAGATGGCAAAGAAAGATTGCCTAAAAATGGCTACACGTTCAGCCTTACTATAATACGCCCGTGTGTTTTATTTCAGCGGCCTCCAGACACCTGCTGTTCCTGCCCAACTGTACACCCAGAGCCGTAGAGCAGTTTCCGAGAGACCTGTTCACGCAAGACCAGCGCGCCAAAGGAGGTCTGGCGCTTCACATATTTCTGGTGCTTTACATGTTCCTGGCCTTGTCCATCGTCTGTGACAGCTACTTCGTTCCTTCTTTGGAAGTGCTCTGCGACCGTAAGTACACTGTGGTACATTTGTTCTCCTTTTCTAAGGCTAAAGATGGTATATAACAGACAAGAGGAGGTGAAAAGCGGAGGTGGGAAAACATTAGGGACCTAAAGTCTACAAAATCTAATCCAGTCACCATCACCTGTGATGGACGAACAACAACAACAACAACATAAAAGTATTTTAAAGCTACGAGTATAAACCTACTTTACTTTAAAATAAGCAATTACCTCCGTCTCTATCTTTGTTGTTTGTTGCTCAGCTTCTTGTGCGTTGACGTTTTGTTTCTTACAGAGAAGTGGGATCTGTGTTGCATTTGCCTCCATCGATATACTTTAACTCTTTGAGTCCCAGGGGGTTTAGCATCACAGGCCTAAGGGGTAGTCAAGAAAGACTAAAATCGACGCATCATGCGTTCATCGGGTCTCTAGGTAGGAATCTATGAACGTATGATGCGTTCTTTGGGACAAAGAGTTAACATTGTTTCTGCTTCTGAGTGGCTAGTTGTCGGTTTATGGAAGAACTGATTCAGTTTCTTTTTTTTTTTTTTTTTTTTCAATGATAGTCACACTAGAAACAATGTCATCATGGTTACAAAAAGACATTTAAAAAAGTTAAAAAATATTTATCCATTTTGACACATTCCAGCCAATCTGTCACTTCTTTTAGGGTAGTGTTTTCAGTCTGAACATTGCCATCACTTCCACTATCCTACAGTTTAGCCACTTTCAGCTGTGTAAAAGGGTGTAAAAGTAGTCTGTGGATAGTTTTAAAGATGTATGTTTGTTTGTTGATAGTCAAGCATTTTTCACACGATAATGGATAACAGAAACAGTCAAACGAGTGACGGTTAATCGAGGTCTCAATGTATTTTACTATTTATTGTTACTGTTTACTATTTATTTTATTATTTATTGTAACTATTTACAATTTATTTTACTTTTCATTGTTACTGTTTACTATTTATTACAAATATGCCACTTGGTTTAAGTCTCAGGCATAGCCAAAAGAACGCTCGCGGCATACTTACGCCACTCATGCAGAAATTGCCACGTGAAAAGTTTCCACTTACTGGTAATACTTTTCTAGTTGCACATGAATCCTTTCATAGACAAAGTGGCTATGAGGAAACTAGTACGTACATCACCCTCTCCAATCTAATTGTCACTGCTAACGCTTACACTCGCGAACTGATTACACATTGCCACTGAGTTTGAACCCAAGACCTTCAGGCTAACCTGTAAGCGCCTACTTACTGTGCTGCAATGGTTTCCATAGTGCTAAAATAAAATTATAAAGTAACCGATCTTTTACATGCATCCGGCATGTGATGAAATATCAGATTTTTCTATCGGCCCCCGATAAGTGAAGTGGCCCTCGTCGCACCCATCACTTTACTTCCCATTATATTTCCGGGGAAATAAAGGCTGGTCGACTTGGGAACCACTGATTATGTTTGGGGGGAAAAAACAACTTCCGATAATATGCGAATTTGAACATAAGACAGAGGGACCGACAGACAAGCATCTAACCACTCCGCCATCGCGGCTTCTACAGTGCCAGAGCCACATGCTAAACAGGCCTAGCATTCCAGAGATGAAATCTTTTCTTAAAACATGAATCCTGCTTGCTTGTTGGGCAGCAATCTGCTTTTTTGTGGGCCCTAATCGGTTTGTTTTGGGCTTTACTTTCCTGGCGTGGCAGATTAGACTGTTTGTTCTGCTGTTGTTGCATGGTTGTTGTGTTATTTTTGGAAATTGCAACGAAGGGATTTTGGCTGTTTCGCCAGACTTTTCGTCTATCTTTTAGATCACGTGGGAGAATGTGACTAGCAAGTCTATTGGGTTGTTCAGTCTACTGGGTCGTTCAGTGTACTGGGTCGTTCAGTCTACTGACTCGTTCAGTCTACTGGGTCGTTCAGTCTACTGGGTCGTTCAGTCTACTTTGTCGTTCAGTCTACTGAGTCATTCAGTCTACTGGGTCGTTTAGTCTACTGAGTCATTCAGTCTACTGGGTCGTTCAGTCTACTGGGTCGTTCAGTCTACTGGGTCGTTCAGTCTACTGGGTCGTTCAGTCTACTGGGTCGTCCAGTCTACTGAGTCATTCAGTCCACTTTGTCGTTCAGTCCACTTTGTCGTTCAGTCTACTTTGTCGTTCAGTCTACTTTGTCGTTCAGTCTACTTTGTCGTTCAGTCTATTGGGTCGTTCAGTCTACTGAGTCATTCAGTCTACTAGGTCGTTCAGTCTACTGAGTCGTTCAGTCTACTGGGTCGTCCAGTATACTGGGTCGTCCAGTCTATTGGGTCAT